AATAGTTAATTATTACAATCGGATTAAATTCGCAGCTGTTATGTCGTAATAAAAATATACGTTGAAGCGAAATACGTTCTTAATACGTACCTATGGTTTTGTTACATTTAATTCTTGTTGTAAAACAGTTGAAAGATTTAGAATGTAATAATAATAAGTCTGTTAAAACAATGTTTCTGACGCTGCTCGCTCCACCATGAAAGAGGCTGTCAAGTCAGGTAGCGTTTGATATCAGGCCGGATCTTATTGACCGTGATGATTGATCGAAGAGACGCATTGATTGATGCTGGACATGCATCTTAATAAATAATTTAATATACGGACATTTTTATTATATAAAAAACATAAACTAACTGCTCATTTAATATAGAAACCAAAGATAAATTGTAAATAATATATGCTGCGTAATCATTTATAATGTATCTGGTTAGAAAGCTTATAAGATATCTTTAATCCAGAAAGTACAAGTTTCGAGAGCGTTATACAAATATATTTATTTGTATCAAACAGGAACTCGAGGGAAATAAATAAAGCCTTCAAGTTAAAAATAAAATAAGACCCGGTTTACGGACCACGGTAAGCTTTCTATGGAGGCACAAAGGGGAGCGAGATGGATGTATGATTTGTGCTAGGAGTGAAAGAGACAGATGATCATACCACGTGACACCTGCCAGCCTCCAAATGAAGACATCGCAGCTGTAGAGAACCACGGACAGATGCGGCCAACCTTCTAAATAAAACCTTTTTGAACACGCCATCTTGGAACTATTATTGTAATAATATTAATTATTTATACTTTTATTTTTATATCATTATCTTATATTTATAGTAGCGAGCAGAATTAACATACATAAAATTTATAAAATTATAAAAATCTAGAGTTTATTATGTATGTACCTATTATATGTATTATTAAAAACATAATATTTGAAAAGTTCAGAATCCTATCTGATATTTCATAGTTTACTGTAGAAGGTATTCTCTTACTAATTAATACTAAATGTGTAAATGTAATACTATATCAAAATATTTAGTAAAACACAGATATCCTCTAAAACGGGAGCTGTCAACATGCCTCAGGTGTATTTAGGTTACAGGATACTCGAAAACAATAAGCTATTCCATTTTCAACCTTATGACATCGTAATAAAGGTTTCTACAATCACATGACTTGCATTACTTTATATTGTTTGATAATTTCTGTTTACTCAGTGCTTAGCAAATGTTTATAAAGCTTGGAGTTAAACAATCAAGTAATCTCGTAACAGATGCAGATAATCTGGTAAAAGGAGGTTTTATTAAATAAATAAATAATATATTCTTTTTTTTAGTCTGTGATAGTGTACGCCACTATTTACAATTTCGTGGGGTATCCATATTTATGGCGCTTCTTTCAACGTCTGTTATTTTGAGAAATATAAACTTGTTTTAGAAAAGCAATACATACAAGGTAAAATTTCAAAATCTGAATCTAATAATAGTATTTTTGTTTATTTTATTTATATAGATAAGTGGGTGAAGTGGAATTAATTTATTATCTATTAATAGCGTCTCTAAATTAATTCAAATTTTGTTTGGAAAGAAGCGGAGAATGTTCAGTACTTTAAGTATTTAAAATAAAATACAGTTAAACAACGTCTACAGAAAATTCATTCTTTAAAGATGATTCAGGTCAAATAATATCTACACGCAAAATGTCGCAGTATAAAAACTCAATTGTTCTAATTGTCTTGCTTATATTTCGGTTTTACTAGAGCTAGGCGCAAGTAATTTTTAGTTAGTTCAAGAACATTATATAAATTAAAAAATATATTACGACACATGATATTCAACATGAATTATTTACCATTTCATTATTAATTAACACGTGGCAATAATTTATGCACTGTATAAACCACAGATTATATAAATACAGATAAAGAATCTAATAAAAAAAAATCGAATCAATTTGGACAAGTGTCTAGCCTCGGTAACAACAGGATATCACACACGTGAGAATTATATAAATTAACCCATCCCGAGGCTCCGATAATTGAGACGTCAGATTTTTTAACCGGTTTTTTTTCTTTTTTTAATATTTATAACGTTGCCGAGCCGTAATTTAAGTAACTCGTTATCTTCGCCTCTATCTCAGTCTGTTTCAAATGTTTCCGATTAATGTGGACCTGAGCGTGATCTGGAGAGAAAAAAATATTAGATTCAAATTATTTATTACGTCATGTTGAATTTTGTTTTTTTTTTTATAACATACTGACGCGGTTGCTAGTATTTCTGCTTAGATTAAATGTTTGATAAGAAAGCAGTAGTATAAGTTTTCTAGGAATAAATATGTATAGGTTTTGATTTATACATATCAAATACGGATACATTTTTATGTATAATTTATATATATATATATATATATATATAGGTATATATATGTGCTTTTTTATATATATACGTATATTATGAGAGCAGGTCCATATAAGTATTACTCTACAGTTTACACCCTTTACAGGCCAAACCATATTTTAAATAAATGTTGTTATTGTGTTTCTTTTATTCCATTTAATTGGAATTATTTCGAACTAGCAAATTTTATAATATGACAAAACTGCCCTTAAGATTTGTCATAATAACTCTCAATATTAAATAGGTATGTACCATTTGCTTAATAATCCGATTAACTATTGACGCAAGGCTAGAAGCAGGTAAATTCAAGCAACGATTACAAAACATTTCTTAGTTATATCACGTAGAGTGACGTTTGAAAGGATGGTATAAAAAACCAAACTTTTGTGAACGTATCACAATTAAGATGTCAATCAGTCTTACTTTTCTTTGGCCCTGTTAATTGTCCATGCTTCTTTGTTCGACGAGCACATGCGATCTTTTCAAAATGACTTAGCCCTTTCAAAAGCACAGCGCTTTGTGATACAAATGATCCAGAAAATCATGGCTACTTTATTATTAACGTGATTTACAATTGCGAAGCGCATGATTATGTACTTTTTTAAATAAGTGACACTACTTATATTCAGAAGAGTTGTATAAAGACAAGATCAATGTTTAAAAGAGTTTAAATTGTATTTTTTGCCAAAAAAAGTTGATTGAAAGATTTAGTAGCTAATAAGAATATGACAACAGTATATCTAGAAACGAAAAAATCTTATCCTTAATAAAAAATATTTCTATATTTCTAAACCTACTTGTAGTAAATGAGGTGGAACGTATGGTACACAGTCAATCAAGTACTGTCCCAAATAATTAATGAACGGGTCTTTACGATTCTTTAAACTTGTCTTTTAAACGCCGTTTTTTCTGATTTTGACACTTATTACTACGAATACAATTATCAAATTATAATAATAATATGCATATATTTTAGTCTTTGTTATTGAAATATTTGAATCCAAACATTCATGTTTTTTTTAATGGTGCTGTCCTATGTTGGACAGCTCACATCTTCACAAATTAGTATTTAGAAGTACATTAATATTATCTATTATTAATAAATACGATAATATCGTCTATTCATTTTTAACAAATTTCTTTAAGAGTAGGTATATAGACACGGGAGAATAAACATTAATAATTCAATTTCTATTTAATATCAAAACATCACACTTATATTCTAAAAACTTTCTTTTAAACATTATAATATCTTTTTATTTATCGTTACAAAAGTTTTTGATACAATGACCTGTCCTTGAGAATAACTAGATTTTAATCCTGACATTATAAATAAATAAATTTTTGTTAATTTTAACTCAAACTAGTTGTTTCAAATACACTTAAGTTACAAAGATAATTTCGTATATGGTCTAAAATTGTGTTTTTTTTTTAATAAATTAATTTGAATATTAATTCCTCGACTCTACATTTATGTAAAAAAGAATGTCGAATGGTGAAAAGAAATAGTCAAAAGATCAATGACTTGTCGCTTTGTTCTGAAAGTTTTGAGCACTGTATACAAAAAAGATCTAATTCTTTGAATAAGATAAGGGGGTTGTGTTTTACGCTTCATATTTTGATTAACATTTTTGGTGTTCAATTTAAATTAATCCGTCTCAAAAAATTTATCTCTTCAGATTTAGTTATATTTTATATGGACGGATAAAATAATATTAAAAAAAGGAGTTAATATTAATATAAGAAGATTATTAAGAAAGAGACATCTAGCGACGCTATTATAAACGAGGTTGTTAAAATGTAAACTATGATAACAATTACAAAAGGTTAAAAAGAAATAACATGATAATTCATATATTATTTCTCAGTAGCCTTACATTAATTAAACATTTTTTTCAACAGCAAAAAAATATTTACCATGGATAGTTTTAAAACGTGTCTTTGACAACATGACAACAATGAATATAGACACACGTCGATTGACGTTTGTGGGATTTTATATAGCACTTCATTTTATTCACAGAATAAATACATAGTGACTTGATTTATTTATTTTAATTATATTATGAAATAGTAAATCAGTATCGATTGTATGTTAATATCAACGAATTATATTAATGTGGTGTATCAAGGTTATTATATAATTTTATTGTGAAAGTAAATTTGACGTTTTGGTAGTAGCTTGTTGATTACTTTTACCAAAGTTGGCTAAAATTCGTGATTGCACACTTGTGATTCTATCTGGACTCCAAGATTTCTAATGAGGTGGTGGAATCGATATCAAAAACAAGTACTCGCATTTGAAAAATATAATTAATATTCCCCTTTCATAGAAGCAATTGTGAGGTCAATGTCGAACTGTGATCGATTTACATTAACTACGATTCTATTAAAAATCTAGATATTTTTGCAACACCTTTGCCAACTTTTGTTATAGTCTTCTCGATATAACATTAAGATAAATCTGTAATGATTGTTTATAGTATTTAAAACCCAGAACATCGTCTGTTTTAGAATTCATGTGTAAAATGCGGATATACTAATAAAGAATAGAGCGGTCTACGAAAAGATTAAACAACCCCTTTATTGTGCAACATAATAGAGGAGCAATGAGTAATGCAGGAGGTGTTAATGCTATGAACAATTTACCACCTGGTGTCAATCCAGAGAACAATTTGTTACCCGGTGGTCCAATAATAAATCAAGGGATGAATAGAAATAGAAATAATAATCAAAATCCACTGTTCAATGTCAGAGAACGATTATTCCATGCATTATTTTTCAAATTTGCTGTCGCATATGCTCGTACATTCCCACGGCCAGTGCGAAGATTCTTTGAGTTCCTTGTGCTTCTGAAAGCACTTATGGCATTTTTTGTACTTGCCTATATACATATAGCGTTCTCAAGAACACCGACCACATGTCTGAATCATGTAAAAGATTCCTGGCCTAGAGATGGTATTTTACGAGTGGAGATACTAAGAAATCCCGCTCAAGACTACACGGTAGAACAGAGTTACGCCAAAGAGAGGAAGCTTAAAAATAGTAAAGATGATATGAATTCTATGCTTGGAATGTTGGCAACTGAAGGGTAAGTGACAATCATTATATCAAATGCATTTCAAGCATTTTTCATTATTATTTACATTAGTATATATCTCTAAATAAGAGTATTGTCATAATTGATATCAAAACTTCAATATATAAACTAAAATTCAAATAATCAATTCAATTTTATGAATACAGGAACCATTTTTAATAATATATTCAGTTGAATTCTTATTTGTTTATAACCTTCAACCACTTCCTGAAATATATGTTATTAAAACACACAAACATATCATTTTGGGCAAATTATAATAAATTAAAAAGTATTAACAATATTTGATAATATTTACTTCACATTTTGATTTATAAGTCTCGGAGTTTTTATATTGTGGTTGTCGCAGTATATGCAAGTGTGGGTACGAGTTTAGAATCTGCTATAAAATGAAGCTCAATAGGCTTTTCAATAATATAAATATTATGCTGCTATGTTGTATATATGTCAAATGTAATTTACATATTTAGGCTATTTGAATTCTCCTAGTATTATTATATAGTAAGTTATTTGTAGTCATATTTTTTTCTAATATTATGTATCTCATATAATTCCAATTTAACTTAGAAACCATAGGCAATATACTAATCCAATAATTTGCCCAATATGTTTGTTTATAATTCTATAAGGTTTCTTTCTTATATTCTATAAATAACATGAGATTAAACAGATTATGTGTCATCTTGGAATTATTAAGTCTGACTTCTTTCATTGTACATCAATATTCTTACAGTTTTTTTCATTATTAATAATATTTTTCCTAAAATTATATTTCTATATTTGACTTTTTGATGAAAATTAATTTTAAAATTAATTATACTTGAAATTATGAATCAATAATAGTTTTTGATTTTAACTAACCAGGTATTAATAGGAAAAAGATGTTTTATCACCTATGTAGTAAATAAATAATTAGTGCAAGAATAATATTATAATAGTAAAACTTGTTATATCAACAAAATACATTAGTAAATACCTCATAAAATACCTCATGTAATTAGTAAAAGATATATAACTTGTTATAAAATTCTATAATATTCTATTATGTGTCATGCCATTTTCCATACAAATAAGTTAAAAATATTGCCACAAACATAACTCACAAATATTTTACTATGAATATCCAGTTGCATACAATTCTGAGTGTTTGCATTATATTGTTTTCAGATTCGTAAATATTGAATCGTCAACTAATGAAGATATCGAAGGTGATGAATATTTGAGAGATGGTACCGATTATGGGAATATCACGAGGATCCATAACGACAGTGAAGAACCGGAACAGGTTATTGAAACTGGTTTCTATGTGAATAGTAAACCTGAAATGGTTGCGAGCGACCAGGTTGATTTGAACCAAACAATCACACCCGGAGAGGATGTTGAGCCATCTTCAACCATATGGGAAGGGATTATGGGTCTCGTTGAAGATTTAGACAAGGATACCAAGGTGAATGATGTAAGTATTATCATTTATAGATGATAACAATATAATTTATATATCATATTAAGTATAACCATTAACATTATTTTAATGATATGGTTTCATTCATAATGAAATCATGGAATATATTGCTAATTGCCAATGATGACATTTATATTTGATGGACGAATTATAATCTTGAGTACTGAGATATTCATTATTTACAAATTTCATTTTCATATTAAAACTCGTATTGTTAATATACTTCTATGAAATTTGATAAATGTATAATAATCGTACATAAAATATTATGTCCTCATAATTAATGTTTCATTTTTGTGTCAGTTGTATCAATAAAATGATTGATATACACAGAAATGTGTACAACAGTAGAGAAAAAGATATGTATTATTGAATATGAAGTACAAGAATTTATTAAAAATCTACAAAGTAGTTAATTTTTATTATGGTTAACTGTACTAACCATTGTTAGAATCATTGAATAATAATATTTAATTTTAAATTAAACAGTTAAAATTTTAATTATATATATTATAATATAATTGTTTCAAAGTAAACATAGTTTTTCATTTCAAGTTTCCAAGTTTCGTCTATAGAATTGTATATTTTTTACTACATTCAGTACAAAAAATAGTTGAATGAATAATAATTTTTCTTTACATATATTAAAATGTTATGATTTTAGGACACGCTTGAGGAGGCAGCGACCAACGAAACATCTAAAGGTATGATATGTTTATGTAGTTTTTTGGTACATATAATTATCATTTGGTTTTTTGTCTTATAAACACTACTATTATGTAGGCAATGATTATAGATTATTAAAGAATGTTCACTTTTAAATTATACAAATATGTAGTTTCTTTTTATTTTACTAAAATTATGTGCCTTTCTTTATATACATATATAATTGTTATCCGTATTTTAATTTTAATACAGATTATATGAACACATCTTTTTTTTTCAGACGAGGATTATATTCTAGAATATTCCCTAGAATATGGTTTTCTTCGATTATCACCAAATGCTAGACTACGTTTTAAGATACCCGTTAAAATTGTCACACTAGACCCTCAGAAGGATGCATGTTTTGGTGATGCCTTCTCACGTTTTGTTCTGGATGAATTTCTTGGCTACGACGACCTGTTAATGGCATCCATCAAGAGTTTAGCTGAACAGGAGAATAATAAAGGTTACTTGAGGTAAATAACAAATATATTAATACTAGCTGCGCCCCGCGGTGTTACCTTCCGATTTTCGGGATTTCCGGGATGTAAAGTAGCCTATATGTTATTCCTGGACCTCAGCTTCCTGTACACAAAATTTTATCAAAATCAGTTCAGCCGTTTGAGCGTGAAGAAGTAACAAACATACACACACACTCACAAACTTTCGCAATTATAATATTAGTAGGATATATGTCTAAGCAAACATGCTATTTAAATTACTATAAGTTGAAAAAAAATGTATAGTAGGTACATTTATTTACTGGCTTATATTTTATGAGAACAATATAGGTATTTTTTTCATATTAATTGTATGTTACAAATTATACATTAGTATGTGAGAAACTTTAGTATATGTATTTCAAATGTATTGTATGTGCATTCATTTAGATTTTGAGATTTAACTTGACTTGAAATTACGTTTGCCATTAGTATGTTAACTTTGTATGTGGTCTATAACAATTTATATCGTTCTAGAAGCACTTAGAATGGAATAAAATATAATAATTAAAACATTATTTTTAATACTTCTCTTTTGTCAAAAAAAAAAAATACTTCTGTGTATATTATAAGCACTAAGCCCAGATTGGAATCTAGTAGGATTGTATATTAATTTGGCTCTAAATAACATACATATTTAATATTTATATAATGTATGCTACAATTCTTTTTTAGGAAATTTCTGTTTTAAAAATCAAATTATTATGTAAAGCTATCATAATTGATTGCTTATAATATATCTTTGTTATAGGAATGTTATAACCGGTGAACACTATCGTTTTGTGTCAATGCTGACAGCTCGAAGTTCATACATAGCTGCCTTCTTCATTATGCTTGTATTTGTAAGTATTTTTTGTGTATTGTTCTTTTAATAACACACAAAGTAGTATTTAAGTCTAAACCACACATAATAGATAATGAAGTAGTTTTAAACTACTTGTTATATATAAATTATTTACATAGATATTTTTAGTTTAACAAATGGTAGGAGTTCAGTAAATATTATTATGAAAGTTAAAATAAAAATACAAATTGTAATTTCATGATAGTCAATAATAATTTTTAAATTATCTGCGTATATCACATATTGAAATATGAATTCTTAAAACTTATAATCTTTCATCATGTGTGTAGTAAAACTAACGACTCAAAAGCTAAATTATTTAAAATAAGCGTTAAATTTAGAGAGTTGATATTAATCTTGACATTTAAAGCTTGTAACCTAATGACCCGCTTATTAAGTGAAAGTAGCTGTTAGTACATCATGGAAGATTTTACAAAACTAAGAAAGTTGATGAATAAAATTTAATATTTATTTTGCACTGATGTAACCGGAAGGATTTGGTTTTCCAATTTGACTTATTGAGATTCAAATAATTGCGAGAGATGGCGCTGTGAAAGTTACAATTATGAGCGCCATCTAGCGGCGGATAGTATAAACTTTATGAAGACACAAGTTTGAGCTGTTATGCCGACACAAATTTTTTGTCCTTTCAACAACAGGTGGCGCTATTACACACATAAACTATAACTGGATTAAACTCACAAAATCATAAATAGGTTAATCTAGTGAACCATATTTCGATTTCGAACGCTTATTCTCGTTTTTAATATTTAGTGGTACTAACACAGTATCAACATGTATAGGTATTTTTTCGTGGAAAAAGAGTATTAACATAAAAATAAGAATAGGTAGCTTTAGTCAGTTTATTTCTTAATTCAGGTCTTTGGTGTACAATGACCGCGTTTCTTTTGTTTATGGAATAGGTCCTCGACAAGCTACTATACGTTATGATAACTATGTAGATAATAAAAGAATTATTGCTAGCTTAATGTGAAAAACTGGTTACGTAATTACTAAAAATATAAAATAACTTAAATTCAATATATAAAAAAATATTTTACATTTGACCAAAACGGTTACTTTTATTAAAAATATAAATTTTTAAGAATGAAGTGTTTCTTTAGTGTTCTCTTACGAATTTCCCATTACATATCTTATGGTACACAAACAAGAGAACTTTAATTTAGTATAGAATTTACTTAAGAATTTAATTAATCGAGTTTCATTAAATAATGAAATAAAATAATAAGAACTTCATCAAATAATGAGACAGAGAAACATAAAATAAATATATCTATAATTTTGCTCAATGAAACTAATATTTTGCGGATATACTACGCGACTTTATTTTTTACAATAACTACATACTACCGACGTTTCGGTTACTTTACAGCAACCGTGTCACGGACAGACGACAGACAAAACGTCGGTAGTATGTAGATATTATCAAAAATAAAGTCTCGTAGTATATCCACAAAACATTAGTATCACTTAAATGACTCGCGAAAATCTCAGATCTTGCTAAAGATTGCCCCAGAAAGAATTCTTAAAATTAAAAATACTTATAAGTTACTTACGATAGCTAGTTTATACGCGCGGTATACGCTCACCTTCACTGTCCAAGCTCCTCTCTACTTAACCAAATTTGAAAAAAATCTACTAGGATTGCGTTACAATAATGAATTGAAAGTACGAAACAACTCTACAGTGTCTATAAGCTCCGCCTAAAAATGAGGTTCTCTGAAAAAATCTAATATATGTAAATCAATCAGATTAGGAGCTAGTTTTAAACTAGGACATTTTTGTTTTATGAGTCTCAGCGTGGTACATATACAGGGTGACTGGTGAATTACTATCGATATTTGAGGACGTGATGTTTGACGATCATATAATATGACAAAATAAAAATTAATATAACATAAATATTAATAAACTTCTAAGTAAAGTTAACCAAAAGTTATGTAATTAATTACGCATCGTGAGAACACCCTACAGATTAGGTATACACACACACACACACACACTCGCGCGCGCGGCGTGGTGTTGTATCAGCACGCCGCCGCACGCGTCCACACTTGGAACACTTGGAACTTGTCCACACTTTATTTATTTATACGGAAATTTGGTCAAAAATTAAGTACCTATTTTTTTTTACATAATTCGAATGAGAATCATGTACCGAGTATTCTCCTTAAATATTGATAGTAATTCACCAGTCACCCTGTATATAAAGGTATATTATTATATTAGTTATTTGATTAACTTCAATATCTATCGACAAATATTGAAATATCACTGCTAACCACGATCTAACAATATATTATGTATGACAAATTAAAAAAACAGAATTATTTACTGAATTAAAAACAAGCTATTCATATTTTCAAATGGCATATTCTTTTATTACTTTCCTTTACCATAGTTTGTGTTTTTGTATATATTGTATATATGCCGTTATAATAATGTGGTGTAATGTATCGATTAATAGTTGTAGGGGAGGTGCGGCCTTCTCACTGAAATCAGGACTCGGGAGTTACAGTTATAGCATTTTTACAGCCCTTTCAAACTTTATTACGGTAAAGAATACAACCTTTATAAAACACATCTCACGTGTCCGCCAGCCGACTAAACGCGAACTTTGGTTTAAGTGAATTACTTACAAATGTTTATACACATTTGAATCGGAGTAAGGTTGTGAGATCTAAGATTTAAACGAGTATTCATTTAAATGAAACTATTTTTCGGATGTACTACGCGATTTTTACTACAGACTAACGTTTTGGTTGCTTTTATCTTAATTCGTTTGAAAAATATTATATATAATATCTAACTTCTAGTTTTTATCCGCGACTTCGTTCGCGTTAATTTCGGAACTAGTAACATATGTAAAACCTGCAATGGAGAACTTTATTCCGCCCTAGAGGCCAGAAATAACCAGTTATTCGAATATACATATAAAGTTTTTTTTCGATCGAACATAATTAAATATCCCTATGTCCGTCTCCTGACTCTAAGCTATCTCTCCACCAATTTTCAACCATATCCCTACAGCCGTGCTAAGTTATAAATAGTGTAACTAACACAACTTTTTTTTATATATTGTCGGGGATAATGCAAATCCGCGTAATAAGCATTGGAAGCAGATTATCAGAAGAAGGTTTACACTGATTTTTTTTCTAAATTAAAGACTTTTAAGGTAATTTTTTACTCTATATAATATATAATTATCACCATACTTTGTCTATAACAGTTTTATAATGTATATAGATTCCATATTCATCACACAGTTTAATGAAAGTATCGCGCGTGGAGGCGACCCGTCGATATGCAATACGTCCTTTGTTTGTACTGGTATTCGTCATGAATGTCGCCGGTCTAATCCCGTATAGCTGTGTCAGTTCGCAGAGAAATTGTATTAATCAATTGTCAAACGGTGCGCGTATTGCCTAACATATCTCACGTTACCTATACTACGATACTGACACAAAGTAAATTGTGGAATTTCATATGTCTATACATATCTATTATTACTGGTCATCACTCATTTATACCCTAATTACTATCATGTTTTCATTATGTATATATATATAATGAGAATATTTGCATACATTTGTATAATTTTTCTAATTCTACAGCTATTCATTTTCAAGTAATAGAAGTATAATGATGATAAATGCTGTAACCAAAGATTATATCGATGTATATTAATTGAATAAATTTTTTATTTAAAATAAAATTAATCCTCATATGCTTTTAATACTATTAAAGTTTGGTTTTACATTGTCATATTTATTAAACGGATGCCTGTTTGATATTTCATTTTGTTCGCGACTTTATTGTATCAATTTTCGATTTTAATCTCATGCGCTAAGCTATTAATATCTATGCAATACACATATAAGTAATTATCCTATTAAGTACATATATCTAGAATATTCTAAAACCTTTTAAAGTATATATGTATATATATTATATTATTAGTACGTCGTTTATTCCAATACGTATATATTTTTGTCAAACAAAATATTGTTCAGAATGTATTTCATCTCGAACAATACAAGCTGTTCTCTAAATGAAACCACACTTGTGTATTTCACCGAAACTTGCGATACGGGAGTCGGTGATTGATCGCGGGGGTGTATTAAGGCAATGGCTTTTAATATTAACCTTGGATAGAAAAACTATGGCCACGGATTGACCAGCGCATTACACGCCGGCCGACAGAAAACGTACGCTTCGACGCGCTTTTCAATATTTTTTTTGCTTTAAAAAAATTTATCGTTCGACGTTATATTGGTTATGTTTTTATTGGTTTTAAATTTTACAAAGAATTTATATTTCATATTTAGACAATATGCCTAACTAACTGAGGTATTGCTTAGGTATTTTATTCAGGCGAAATGTTGATTCATAATTTTTGACATACATTTATGGTACTGTACATGTTGAAGGGCGCACCATACATTTTATATATTGATACTAAATCAAATTCTAATAATTAAAACTTCATATATATAATGTTATTATAATTTCTTTGCTATAATCAAGTAATTCGAGTGGTCCGGAGTCAGGTAGTGGTAGCCGGCTATCCGTCTTTTCGCCACATCATTTGCTCCCCGCGTCCGACGATTGAATTTCATTAACGGAACGCTTACTTCTGATTGAATCCATTTAACTAAGAGTGCCCGCTATGTTAGTGGGGAATAGACTATCTACTAGCCATAACTTTTAATTTAAAACACTAATCGTTATCTATTTTTATTAATTATTCTCTTCGCTAGCTGTGTTATATACGATTGATCCAAAGGAATGTTTATACAGGGTGACTGGTGAATTACTATCGATACTTGAGGACGTGATATTTGACGATCATATATGACAAAATAAAAATTAATATAACATAAATATTAATAAACTTCTAAGTAAAGTTAACCAAAAGTTATGTATTTAATTACGCATCGTGTGAACACCCTACAGAATAGGTATACACCCACACACACATACCGAGCGGGGGCGTGGTGTTGTATCAGCACGCCGCCGCACGCGTCCACACTTGGAACACTTGGAACGTGTCCACACTTTATTTATTTATACGGAAATTTGGTCAAAAATTAACGTCACGTCGTCACGATAGGGTTTTAGAGATCATACGTGAAGCGGTTAGTCTTTCGGTAGCCAGAGCGCAAAGGGAAATAACCACAAACGAGCGATCAATAGGTTTTGTGAGAGAGGGCACCAGGGCTATAAAATCAAACGTCAAGCCTTACTCTATCCTTAAAGCGGCTTCGGATTGGACTATCATGATGGATACGTATGAGAAACAATACAAAATCCCCGAGGATATTTGTGCGTCGACCTCCAGACCAGACATATTTCTATATTCGCGTATTTTAAAGCGCGTTGTGATGATAGAGCTTACGGTGCCTTGGGAAACCAACATCCCCAAAGACCATGCCATCAAGGTCAATAAGTATTACGAGCTCACTAACGAACTAACTCGAAATAGGTTCGTCGTTGATTTGTACGCGGTAGAGGTGGGAGCGAGAGGTATAACAGCTAAATCTCTCTATAACCTACTAAAAGACTTGGGCCTGTCCAGAACTAACATTAATTCATTCTTAGAACGTACGTCGAAGGCAGCCCTAGTAGGTTCTTTTCAAATTTGGTTAGGTAGGGAGAGGAACTTGGACAGTGGAGGTGAGCGTATAACGCGCGTTAGTTAAGGGGCCCCTTAAACCTACACCTGGGTCGCAAGTCCCAGGCACTGTTGAAGCTCCTCTTCCTGCAACGCGATGGACCAGGCACCCGCACGGTGAATCCATCGAATGCTAAGAGGTTTCGTCTCTCTCTCCTATTTTTTTTACATAATTCGAATGAGAATCATGTACCGAGTACTCTCCTCAAATATTGATAGTAATTCACCAGTCACCCTGTATAAGCCAGAATATAGTTGGTTAAAAACAGCTGATCGTTAGTTCAGATAAGTTTAACGCTCAAACTTCGGTTGTTAAAAAAGTGTATGTTTGTTCAATGTTCGTATTTTGTTTCAGACGGTTTCCATATCAATGCTGTTGAGATACGCCCATCATCAGATCTTCGTTTTCATAGGTGAGTTTATTTATATACAGTACAAAAACTTGTTCATTATATAAAAGAAACATTTTCATAGAGAAAATATAATTCAGCTTCTAAGCTTCAATAACATCGGTAAGCATATTCTATAATGAGGAAAACGCAGTAAAGAAAACACAAAGAGGGCTATAAGCTTAGAAATTAGAAGAAAAAACAAAATTAAAACTCCAGCACTGCGAGTTTATTCGTTGAAAACATCCAGTTAATACTAAGAAACTGCAAAATTATGAATTGTTGAAACAATTTCTATGAAAAAAGCCGGAGTTTTGAGCCGGCTCAGCGGCAATCTCTTTGTAATAATAATAATTGCGTATGCCGCCCGCGGCTCAACAAAAATAAAATATTACAGGTTGGATTTACCAGTCTTTCCCTCTTTGATCCCCCGACAATTAGCCGGCTACAGATAATTTTTTCCTCTCTAGCCACTTGGCTCAGAGATTCGATCGGATGATTGTTTTCATATTATTATTTTTTTTTATAATTTTTATTTTTCCTCAATTACGTTCGCCTCCGTGCGTCCCTGATGGAAATATTCCCTGTCTATATATCCTGTTATGATCATTACTCGCTTCCGATATTCACGCGTTAGCTTTATATTACTTCCTAATTAAAACAACTTATATTTTATAAAAATAATAAAGGAAATACATTTTAGGTATTCTATATGTATAACATTTTATTCCTCAAACATAATACTGTTGAATGTAACCGTACATGATCCGTGTTTCAATTGCTCGTGTAAAATACAATGAGTAACTCAAATCTCCGTTTGTAGGTTAATGCTGTTCGTAAACATCCAAAGGTGATTTTTATCTGTAAGCGGCTTTTGAGTTTTGAGAATAAACTATTCAATAACACAATATAAGATGAGGGTTAGATCTTTTGAATGGATCCAGTTGGTAGCTATGACGACTGATCCTTGTACGTGCTATTGAAAAATATACACCGGTCGAGGGTCTACAGATTTTTCTTATCGTTTTTCGCGGACATCAGATATCTTTCGCCTCTGATAAAATTTTAAAAGCTGAATATTTCACATTTTTCTTTCCCTCTTAATAAATATCTTCGAGTTTTTTTTTTAATATTCTGTGAATTTTATTTACGTTTTTATTTTGAATATTTTTGTTTTGTAATGGATTATATTTTAACGGTTTATGTTAAGGATTTTCAGATATATCTATAAGCGTTTTGTCCTTTTGTTTGGTTATTTAATATACTTTTATATATCAATATTTTCAATACTTTACTTACAATTACAATTGTACAATTCTATAAAGCGACTATACTTACAATTACTATACTTACAATTGTACAATTCTATAAAGCGACAGTTTGACTTACTTCGATAACCAAGACCTTAATAAAATATCATTATGCTATTTATAATTTAAATTATTTTATTTAAATTGTATTCGGTCGTCGTCGAATATATTTTAAACATAATCTAAAAATAAACACTTTCAAAGGCTTTAAATTTTCTTTGTAGATGTATTTCAATACTAAGAAATAATATTCCTTTTGAAATAAGGTGTATGTGTGTATCGAAATACAAAACAACGTTTCACAGCTAGGAATATGCATCGGTCGTACAACGTGTAGGGATTAGGTAGGTATTGTAAGGTGTATTATATTGTAGCAAAGGAAAGGATTACATCTTTGGCGCCCTTTGAGTCTGTTACTTTAAAAATTATATACGATAAATCCTATTCTATTTGTGAAATACTAGATATAGTTAGTCTAAAGAAATCTTTTATGGCAATATTTTAAAAACTTTGTATTATTTTATAGGTAAATAGTTGTAGAGGTCCAAAGTCTTTTTACATTTGATACATAAAATGCATATAACATCAAGAATTTAATTAAACATTGCAATTCAGTCTGTCTTACGTTGTAAGTCTATTTTTAAACATTTCACAATTTTTTTTCTTATACTTAATCTATGTATATGATTAGATATAATATATATAGCTAACGTATTTGTATATAGATTGTATTTGTATGTTATGTTATATATTATAACGTGCACACTGCACAGAGCCCGCCCGCGCCGCGTCCAACGATCGATCGCCTTCTTGTTTTAATTCCCATTTATTAATTAGCCGATATACCGTATAAAACATCATTTGTATTGACGCTCACGTACAAAAGGACCGCACAATGTCAAACAAACCGCCTCCGACGTGTACATTTTAATTGTATATCATGATAACCGGCTATCAATTAAACATATTCCCTTAATTAGCCATTAATTTTTTTTTTCATTACGCCTATATTTTTGGTATATATCTTTCGTCCTAATAAAATGTACGTAAGGGATTTGGTACATTTGCATAATTAAATATAGAAATTAAGATCCTCTTTTCCGTTGAGATAATTGAGTGTATAAAGATTTTTGAGTTATATTTTATTTAAGAAGCTGTGTAGACTTAATACGTTATATAAAAATTAAAAAATATATAAATTAATATGTTTATCACTTATATTCTTTTGAGATTGTTAAGTAATTTATAAAACTAATTTATTACTTATAAATATCATGTATGTTATGATATTTATTAAATTTTTTAAGACATTAAGATCTTAAACACTTAGTAAGTAATTTATATCAATATATATGTATGTATATAATAATTTTTTTTATCAATTGATGCCAGCATAATGTCTGCGTCGCCGCCATTCCTCCAAGGCCTTACCATTATCCGTTAGCTTTCATTTTTGCTAATGGATAAAACAAAAAAAATAACAAATCTCTCTCAATGTCCGCAACATTATTGTGCACCGTGAATTGTGTTTTCAGAGTAAATTTAAATGTTATAAAAGAAATGTGATAATTATATCGAACGGGTAATATTTTTTTTTTGATACGGCTTTCAAAAACATGATTATCGGTTCAAATGTTAAGATATTTGATGGTTAATAGATGTATTGTAATAATTCTGAAACTTTGAGTACCTTGGATTGAAATTAGAAAAGAAAATTATGGATTAAAGAATGTTCTATGTGATTTGTAGTTCAACTATCATCTCAATCTCTTTTAATGTCAAAGACGTACTTATACGTATTTAATATCTTTGGTGGCATCTTTATAATGTTTCTTTACTGGAAATTTAGAAGTCGTTGATACGAATTTTCGTAAAAAAACCTCATGCTTGAAAGAATTAAACGGTCAGAATAAGTCTATTGATATCCAAGACTTTCACGACTATTCATTTAAATAAAACGAATATTTTCGGATGTGCTATATGTTTTTTATTATATTAAGCTACATACTCGCGATGTTTCGGTTACTTTAGAACAACCGTGATCATGGGCAGATGAGATATTATATATACATATTTTAGTATATCCGAAAATATTAGTTTTAATTTGAATACGACTAAGCTAGGAAACAATCATAATTATCTCAGTTAGTAGTAATCTCTATGGTTTATGCATATAAAATTTACATACTATATCAGTTGTAGAAGTAACTACATATGATAATAGTGTAGGAAGAATGATTCTCAAATATAGAGGTTACCTTAGTTGCAGTAACAAAGGCAATTGAGTGACAATGTGTTGGATTTTGAGAATTATTTCAGTTCCGGAGGTTCCTCACCTAGCTAGGTCCCACTTATGCCGTCCATACACGCTATGGTCTCCCGGAGATGTCCACCTGTGCAGGTATGCCTGTGCAGGTATGCCTATGCAGGTAGACCGGAATGTGTAGGGGTATAGACCTGTGCAGTTTTTTGAATGTTACGCTTGTTTGATTGACGTGTCAGGCATATCTGCACAATTTACCTCTTCGGTGGACTGTAATGCATATGGCTGGCATTAGTCAGGACTCAGGTTTTACTATAGATGGAACTTCGTTTCGATATGAACGTTAAGTAAGTAATTCACCGCCTCTAGTAAAGACACGATCGCTTGGTTGGCAAAGGATTTGTATTACAATATTCGGAAGGTTGCGGGTTCATATTCTGCTCGTGCCGATGAATTTTTTATTGAATTTTTTGTGTATTGCAATTTAGAATCAGTTCAACATTGCATTAAAATTAGGTACATACAACCCGTATTTTTGATAAATAAAATTAGAGTGATTTAACAATAGAGATTTATCCTGAAAATAATTATAGAACTTATGTCATATACTTATACAATCTTTGAAAGATATACAATTTTCCTCGTGAACCAGTTTCATACTAAACGAATTATTATTTTAAAACTATTCGTAGTATGTACGTCAACTATTAATTTTATACCTGGAATACTTTTTGACGTTTAAATTTAAACAATATTAATATATGTTATATGTATTGTGATGTTCATAATAAAGCACGTTGAAATTGAGTTGCCGTCTGTTAATTAAGGGGATTGAAAAACTGCGGTGTACTATGTACATGTATAAAACTGTAATGTACTCTTTACTGTGTAAGAGTTAGGCTATTTGTCGAGATTTCAGTGTTTTTTTTTCTTATTATTTTCTAAAAACTTCATATCTTCAACAAAAAATTCCCATACTTGGTCATTATGTGATTTTATTTCAATACTTCATGTATTTGATTACACCAGAGTATTTTTATGTAATCGTCTATGCCTGAATGTGTTATTAAAGTGATTTTCTTATTTTAAAGTCTATAACTGTAACGTTCGTGCATACGTTAAATGTTCGATCGCTAATTTCCGCAGCTAGTTTATTTGCTGCTTGCTTCAATAGCCCCTCCTGCTCGATGGCTTTGAAATTGCTCCTGTACTGTGAATATGTAAATTCGCTTCAGGATTCAGCAGCCTTGATGCTCTATAGCAAATTGTAAAATTGCAGTATAATTTAGACATTTGATGTACGTTGAGTAGAGATACATGGTTTTAAATTCATTATAAAATGTAAAAAAATGTTTTATTAAGGGAGTGGTTTAAGTACAGAGTTTGTTTATTATATCTTGATGGATATAATATCTGATATATTAAAGTGTTTCATTTAAACATTTATTATATATAAATATTAAAGTCATTCAGTCATTGTTATTTTTATTTTGTACTTTTTATAAGTACTTAACTTCGATATCACGGTCTACCTATTTAATTTCTTTGTAATTTTTATATGCTTAATATATTTTTTGTTATGCAAAACCTACGGAATAATTTCTATTGCTAGTTACTAGCTTTAACTGTAAAGATTTTCCTTCATATAATCATTATACTTGATTTAATCTTCATATGTAAAACTAGGTTCAATTTGTGTGTAATTTCGACTTAATAATAATTTTCTAATTGAACTATTAATTTTCATTGAAACAGATGTTTCATTTCTATTTATCTCAGTGTTAGATGAGTTTTAATATTAAAGGTGAGACCGAGTTCTTTTATATTCATTGCCGTGGAAACTTGTTAAAGAATGTTTATTTAATTTACGAGATTGGTGTAAAAACTGAGACAGACGAACACAGGGGATTCATCTCAATGTTACACGTTCAACAGCATCTTCTTATCCATTCATTTTAAATATTATGCTGCCACTATCAATAATAAGAAATGCTTCATTTATAGACGTAATTTAAAGTATTATTAAATTTTTAGTACATTTTTTGAGTGCTCATATTTCTAATTTTCAAGTATACATATAAGCTATTTATTAAGAGAAAGAACACTTTAAAAACATGTATTTTATTTGCATTTAATTTATCTAAATTTAACAAATACCAATCAGTCTAGCAACAAGTCTGGTTGAAGACTAATTTTTATCAATATTTATTTATAAGCGGTATAAATAATATATTTATTTGAACAAACCGAAAGTATATTGATGTTGAGTGCTAGAAAATACTTCAAATATCAAATTTAGGGATTTCTGCTCCTTTGAGGCGATTATAGAATATGGATGTAATTTGATCAATTATTTCTCTTCCAAATAAGGGAGTAATCTTACAAAGTATTGAGGGGCCGATAATATGATAATTATAATGATGGAAATATAACGTTTTCTTTGCTTATTTTTTTATATAAATATTATATGATATGAGATAATTTATTTTGTTTAAAATATTGTACAATATTGATAATAATGTTATGTTTTCTACGGATTCATAAATATTATTATATAGATAACGAAATTTTGTCAAAAAAAATTGTATCTGATAGGTAATTGTCATATTAATTTGATTTACAATTGAATAATTATAATAAAATTTAGCATCGTCTGCTACAATAACAGACTTACATACTTAATAACAACCAAAAATCTGTATAATAGAATATATTTTTTTATATAATATGAAAAATACTTTTAATATAAATATGAAAAAAAATTAATAGTTGATATAAAATGTTATTTATTGCTCATATTTTTGTCTAATTAGGAACAAACGCCATCTCACAGTCCACTTCACATTGCTAACAATCGTTCTAGCTGCCTTTAATGCCAATTACCTGGGCTATATTGTTCCCGGCGTCAAGTATCACTTAGGGATGCCACCTCTCGGGATGCTCAGGGCTGCCACCCTTGGAATAATACGACTAAGATTCTTAACAACTATCGACTTGTGAGACTGTCTATAATCACTCTCGTCATGAACTTGACTGGCTTAATGAATTCCTTGTTAATTTATATTCATACGTCATATATTTTTTTAATGATGACTTAAAAAAATATTCACTTATATTAATTTTGATATATAATATTTCACTATTTTTCATTTAAATGTTTTAATTATTTTTTTTATTTCATGAAACTATCCTCAAATATGTTACTAGTAAATTAAGTATATTAATTATATACCAAGTGACAGCCCTTTGTATTTGTTTTTAAGAGAGATCCATTTTGTTCACTTTATGACAAAAATCCTCTTGTGAATAAAGCATCTCTTTGTTAAAGATTTAGCATAAACATCCACAAGTTGCGAACTAATAACATTGTAAATTTTAAACTGGCTATCGTAAATAAGCAGTTAAGTTAAGTAAAGAGTGCACTACGCCTATTTTAATTTTATTTTTGCCCTTAGCGATATATTGTGAAAATTTTATGACTATGGTTATCGGTTATCCCGTTTAGTTTTAAGCATAATCTCTGTGTTAAAACAATACCTATAATAATATATGTCGAATTAATAATTAATTAAAAATTAATTATTATTATTACATCAAATCTAAATTGTATAAAAATCCAATGCAATGCGGCTGGGAGGCAGTAAATTGTAGGGAATGCTCAACAGCTATGGGGGAAAGAAATTGCGGATTTAATTTTACGTGATGTATGATGAACGATGACGTCATAATTTACAATATACACCAGATATATTAGATGATCTGCAGCGAAAAATAACGTTGGAACTTATTATATATACAGCCTTATATACTATATATATATAGAGAGAGAGAGATATATAAAAGAAAATGGAATAGCCTTCATAATTTTGTAACCTTTTGTGTAGTATCTGTCTGCAATATTATCTTTAATTTATTAATATAAACAAATTTAAATAACTAATACTCCAAAGTTAATACAGACATGCAATCAAGTAATGCATTGAATGTATGTCGTAAGGATTTGAAACTTTATTTGCTTTCAAAACATTATAGTATTGAATACAAAGAAAACTCAATGCTTATTTATCTTTGCCTAATTAGTGATATTGAAACTATATTGAGGCGTTCTTGTTTGTATTTTAGAAATGAATTTCTTTGAAATGTATAACGGATTTATATGAAATTTTGTGTGATAAAGAATAGCTTATAGGTTTCCTTTTGTCTCATAAATATCTAGACTACGTGAGCTCTATTGTAAAATATTGCTTCTGAAATCATGTGTAATAAGTATAGCTCTGTTTGAGAAACTATCAAATGTTTCTTTAAATACACGTATTGTTAATAAAGCCCAAATTTAATGTACTACTACTGTTATTATATTAAAAAGAATATAATTTCACTATTATCTTGATAAATACGTGTCGGTAAATAGTATCGCAGATGAACATTAATCTTAATGCGTCCGTCGTAACATGTAATTGTATTAAAAGCCAAAAATAAAAGATCCACTAGTATGTGAACGGATCGTATATTTAAAGGTATCTTGTCTCCTCGTAAAGAATGATCCGCAGTCTCTTGCGACACCATTACTCCTGCCGCATGAAAAATTCATAGAGAAGCCGTTTGGTCGCGTTAAGGTGTTTTAGAGTCGCGCGCGCACTCACGGGGACCCTAAGAATGGCTTATGGCTCTTTGATGCACAGCCTGATCATATAACGCTGCTTTAATGCATACCATTCAAATAACATATGCGTATATTTATGTTGCACTTTTATATAGTGTTATACGATTTAAATGAACTGCGGTGTTTAGATTGTGATTAGATTACATGAGAAAAAGATGATAATATATTGGTGTTCATTATATTTATATATGTGTATTAAGCAAATATTATTAATGTTAATTAGTATTAGAATTCTTTATGTTTATTTTAACTGTATTATGAATTGTTACAGTGGACCTTCTACAGATGTTGGAATTCAACGTGACCGTCTCTTTCCCAGCGGCGCCACTGCTCACAGTTATTTTGGCATTAGTCGGTAAGTGCTACTACATCATAGTTTACAATTGCAAGAAAATCCTAAGAAAGAATTCATGTATATAGAATACATACATATATATTACCGCGAACTAGACTGATATGAGGTATTGCAGCGAAGTGCAAATTGTAAGGAAGACGTAGGTATTTAGAAAGCAAAGTCGTCTCATGACTGAGACTTAGTTCACACACACAGTAAATGCCATTGTATAGTATAAGCGTACATGCAAATCTCATATTGGCTCGTTCGGTACAACCGTTCGCTCATTAAAAGGTATAGATATTCAACATAGCTTTGATATTTATCTTGATAAATTATTACGTACGTCTGAGCTTCCGTACGGCGGGAAGATATTAATTATATATTTTTTTCTTGTTCTCTTAACTGCTTTGTGTAATCAAAAATATATTTTTAATTAATAACATCGTAATACATTATTTGTTCGTTGTAATTTCAAGTTGTTTGAGATACGTTTGTATCGCTTTCTCTTCTATTTTTAATATGATATATAAAGTAGTTGGATAGCGTCCGAATTATAATTAATTATATTTGGAGTTTGTAAATAATGGAATTATATTAGGAATGTTAATCTAATTTTTATTTTTTAATCTTTTGTATTATTAGTTATTGTAGTAGTAATGACAATTCATATAGCCAGATAATGTCAAATTTAGTTAAAATAAAGAAATGTATAGGGCGTTCTTCTTCTTTGTTTTAACGAAAACTAACATGGTTTTATACTATTATCACAATTTTATTACGTATATTCTTTTATTCCTCTAAGATTAATGCAAAGAGTTTTTAGACTCGGATGTGTTGATATATCGGTACTTCAGCGACTATTTTAATTAATTATTATCGATCAAGAATCTGATCTTAGTATTTAAGTGATGTAATTCTATTCCAGTTTTAATAATATTGTGAGCATTAACTTCATGGTTGTAAAAAAATATGAAAACGAATATAATCTTACCAACTTCGGGGTAATTTATTACATTTGTATGAAATTATTTTCCTTGAAGTGTTATATAAATAAAAGATTTTGTTAATGATTATTCAGTGACAGGAGTAGGTTTAGTGATTTGTAACTGTTTCGATGCTCTAATTTTATATTTTTAATCTATGTATGTAAAAGAAAGTGTTGTTAGTTATACTATTTATAACTGAAAAACGTCTGTAGGGAACTGGTTCAAAATTGGTGGAGAGAGAGCTTAGAACTAGGATATGGAAATGGGGTGTTTAGTTTTTTTCTATCTAAAAAAAACGTAATAAATTACAATGAATTAAGTTATTGACGGTCTCTTATTCGGAAAAGAGTTCGCCTGATAAGCTATATACATATTACATATTACGAAATTCTCGCGGACGAAGTCGCGGGCAAAAGCTAATATTTGTCATGAAAGCATTTCTTTAACCATTTGTATTAATTATAATGGTATTTATAAACGCCGGTCCCACTCTAGGCGCCAGTCCGTCAATCATAATTTATATCAAGCCGTCTTGATGTTCACACGATAATTTCACGTGTCTTCATTGTAACTTTAGTAGGTCGGTCGATTCAACAAGTAAGTCAGTGCCTGTTGCGCGCCGGGAAGGCTGCCTGTTGCGCCTTTGAGACGCGACGGTCGCCCACACTAACACTTCCTAATACTTTTGACCTATTTCCTTTGAATGTATTTATATGTATAGCGTTAGATGTTAGATTTTTCTACCAGAATTATACGAATGGTCTTGTCTCTAGGATAGACATTATGAATGCTTAGGATCGAAAATATGTTATTTGAATTGATTTTTCAAAATGATTTATGAGTCATGTCCATATTTCCGCGTGATAACCATAAAGAAATTTATATTATACTTGATTCGGAAATAATTCAATTCTATGTCTATGTTATTTCCAAATAAACCGTAATGGAATTCGTATGAAAACTAACCATTTTAATATTATTATTAAATTTTAATGTATGTAATTTGAATTTAATTTTCATATATTAGATACAAGTTGATTCAGTCCATAATATTACGGAGACGAGTAGTAGTTAAGGTATAAGTTGTACGAATTGGAGTAGTCAGACTCAATTATTGTTGCGAGGTAGCTTAGAAATTCTAATCTTAAAGTTGAGCGTGTGTGCGACCTCAGCCCGCATTGCATATCGTTTGATTAATATCGCCCCTAGCTGTGTCGTACGGTTTCTGACAACTTTCGAATACCGCATAGTCTACTAGAATACGTTTTATGTACCGTCGGAATTACTATCTCATATATATAACCCGATGGATATATAGAGTTCTTTATTCGTCAGGTTTATTTGTTTGATTAGAAATGAAGAAATGGAATATTTTCTTCCAAACCGTTCTATGACAGACGTTTTTATAATGGCCCCAAAAGTATATTAATATAGGTTTGGTAGAAGTTTTCGAAGTAATCTTAGAACGGATTATGAGTCTTAAGTTTCAATTTTTCACCAAAGATCGTATCGTATGTCACTGCCACGATTCTGAAAAATGTCTAGCGGTGAGATTACTTTCAATCCGTTCCAACCGAGCTAACTTCGGCATATTTAATAACTTCTATTATCAGCTCCACTGTTCCGAAGACCCGTGGGGATTTTGTTTTGGTTTTATATTATTTTTTATCTCTCGTATTTTTTGAAACAGTCTCCGAACGTTTATGGAATTTCGTCGGATATAAACAAAAGCTAGATGATACGCGGCCTATTTCAGGCGTCCGTGTGTTTTTGTTTGATCCTACATACCTTCACGTTGGTAGCGGGCACGTACCACCCACGTCCTATGAATACTAACCGATAGCCAGCACGCAGGCACCGCGTCACCAAATTGAATTCACATACACTGCACAGTATTAACAACAGGCCGTCGGAAACAATGCCCAATCAAACAGAGTGCGCTCCTGCTTAACTCGCTTCGATGTATACAATATTTTTTTAAAGCTTTACATTTCAACAAATACATTTATTACAATTTTTTTTTTATATGCCATACATCATTCTTATTCGATATTAAGAAGTTGTATGTATACGTAAATACTATATTTAGTATTAAATATTTTACTTGTTATATACAGTATAGTACTACGTACAGTAGTTTCATATTTCATTTGGCAATGGCTTCTCATTGTATTTTCGTAATGATTAAAATCAGCATTCACGTTAAAAATATTAATCTCGTAAACAAAGGTTTTGTATAAAATTCCGAGTAGAAATTTTTAACATAAGTTACTGGAATTCATTGATAATAAAATATTTTGTTAAATTTATAGATAGTAGACCGTCAACGTGACTAATATTTTTTGAGTCAAAGTTACTAATATTTTTTAAAATTTTATCCGTTTCTTAGATACGATCGGGCCAAGCCTCAAACAATGTCTAGCCAGATGTATCTCCATTATATCTCACTATTAAAATGCGTTATTAAGAATCGAAAGCATCATTTATGAATTTGATTGGTTATTAATTTTGAAAATGTCTGTAGTAGCGAAGCTCTTAAGCCCGGTAAAGCGTAGTCCGTATGACAATGCCGGCGTCCGGTGTGGATTACAGCCCCCCTTAGGTGTTCCAGTGCAAATGGGGATTTAATTTGCCGTATCCGTAAATACAATAGGCGAAAATTTGCGCCTCCACAACCTGTCCGCTCCAACGAAGAAGGGTCATGCTAATAACAAGAGTTTTCGCTGAAGTGAATACACGACACGTGGTAAAACTTTCACTGTTTCGGGAACATTTTGATGACTTTGAATATAAATTAATATTTTGTTTTAAATGTACTGTATATAACTTTTATATTTGTATCTATATTTAATGACATATATATCTTGTTGGTTAAAATTTAAATGTCTGAATGTTATGTTTCTGAGCTAATAAATTATTAGATTTTCGGTGTCTTTTTAGTTTATACTATTTATTGGATTGGTCGATGATAGTCGTATGATAGTGTCACTATTTTAGGCAAATAATCTTAGAGATTTACAAAAGTATTTACAAAAGTATCCACTTATGTACGATTTATTTGTAATACATAGATTCTTGCAGCCCGAAATTCTTGATTATGTAATTAAATTTAGTTCTACCTACATGATCCAAGTATACATGACTAATTAGCTGTATCGCATTATGGTAACCCTATGCCGGCTAATTACGCGGCTAAACACGACCATAGCCGGCTACGAGATACAATGGCTGCTATCATAGTTGTATGAGACATCGATGACGTCGCATTAAAATGAAATCCATACTCGGTGATTGATGAACGGCAAACACCTCGCCCCGCTCATTCAATTTGCTGTCACAGGATGTGTGCACTTTTATAAGGCGCTTCATATTTAGTCTTTTCGGGGTGGAGCCATTGTAAATATAATATGCTATCATTGTGCTCCATACATTAATATATCAATCTCGATTAATTCAGTTTAACTACATACCTTAATACTAAGTTTGAAATATTTTTCGATGATTTTATCAAATTAGTTATATTTACTTTATACGTTCTTCAGCAAATTAAGGCGAGTGTTTTTTTATTGCTTGTGCTGCATCGTTAAAATATAATATGATGAGTGACGGCCAGTTGCTGCTTCATCACAAAAGATGAAGTCACGAGAATTTAATTGTATTATATTATTATATCATAAGACATCCATCAATAACTTATCCTCAACAATAAACACGATTCCGTCATTTCTAAGTTTTTATTTTAATTAAAATCATACGTAAATACTATTTTGATTTACCATAATGAAATGCGATGGCAGATTTGCGAGTTCGATTTAATGTCGTAATTGGAAAACAAATAAATGAATACACCAACCGAAATATAATATAGAGGAATCAAAATAAATGCAACGCGAAATATTTTCTCGTTCAAAACGTAAAGGCTTAAAAAAGTTTTACGTGGAAGCCGCTTCGTATTACTCCGGTATTGGCTGTTATATTTTTTCAAATAATTAATGCTATTACGTGCATCCCACGCGATGTATTTCGACGTCAGTTATTAATGCTCACAGGAATGCTATCAGATATGTTTGTGTAGCCGAAATATTTATACGTTACTA